CCCTGAACAGTTAAAGAAACCAAGGCGAAGAGGAAGAGGAAGCTGATTGTAGACAGTGTGAAAGAACTGGACAGCAAGACCATCAGAGCCCAGCTGAGTGACTACTCTGATATAGTTACTACACTGGACTTGGCACCTCCCACCAAGAAGCTAATGATGTGGAAGGAGACTGGAGGAGTCGAAAAACTTTTCTCTCTTCCTGCTCAGCCTTTGTGGAACAACCGATTGTTGAAGGTAAGCCAAGCTTTGAGAGATTTTCTTTTAAATACAAGTAGCTGATCAGGCAGTAGATAACTTTTACCTGAAAGTTGTTCCATAAATTAAGCATCCCATTGCATGTTATTTCAGAGAACTTCTGGTGGCTTAACCCTGTTTGCTTTGCCTGTAGCTCTTCACCCGCTGTCTTACACCTCTTGTACCAGAAGACCTCAGAAAGAGGAGGAAAGGTGGAGAGGCTGATAACTTGGATGAGTTCCTTAAAGACTTTGAGAACCCTGAAGTGCCCCGTGAGGAGGTGCCTCAGCGTAATGTGATCGGTTTGTATAGTTTTTATGGCATTCATTTCCCCCTTGCTGAATTTTTAACTGCTCGAAGTTTAGGCACCTTGGTGCTGAAAACAGTGCAGCTTCTTTGTTTTTATATTGCTGTCTCTTGTGTGTCTAAAACGAAGTCCATCTACCAAAAAGACATATATCCCAAGTGGCACAGAAGGAAGCTGTGCACCTGTTAAATTTCCCTGTAGAGATGGATGCAGAAACTTACATCCAGAGTATGGTAGATGGTCATTAATACTTCTATGAAACAGATGAGCCCATCTTGGAAGAACCAAGCCGCCTCCAGGAATCCATGATGGAAGGTAGCAGGACCAACTTGGATGAATCAGTCATGCCACCGCCTCCACCTCAGACAGGCGTAAAGCGAAAGGCTGCACAAGTGGAACCGGAGCCTGTCCTACCTGTGAGTGAGACTGTACCTCTTTACGTGTTTATGGCAGTCATGATGGAGGCATGGGTCCCACAAGATCGGCAATTTAGACATTGCAAAATGGGTCTATTCTGTCCCTCTCCCTGCCCTGCAACCTACTGG